GATCTATTCTGATGTGAACTATAAATAAAAAACATTATTCACTTGAAGTCACACACACAGAGGATTCCCCCTTTCTAGGTTCTGAGCTACTTAACCACAACGGCAGTCATCGCTTTTTGATTACTGACTATGGACTCTGGTATTTATAAGTGTTCAAACCTGTTTTGCAAAATAAAAATTATTTACTTAGTGTTCTATATTTTTGCTCAAATATTTCATTACTTGATGTCATTTTTCTGTCCTATTTAATCCATTTCATGTTATTGCATCTTTAATTCGAAGGTTCATTATAAGTACTGAAATTACTATGCCTTCAAATTGTTGCTTGTTTACTTAAATGAACACCCGCCTTTTTTTTATTTCGTATTTAATTCTTCCTTTCATAACTGTATTTTTTTTTCACGTAAAAATTTGCATGTATGTATACTGTCCGTGGTTTGTATGGCATCGATATCTTTCCGATCTTTCCATGGATATTTCCGTGCTTCAGAACCGCCAAACTTTCCTAAACCCGCCATCGTTACAACCTTTGCTACAGTACCTCTTTACCATTACTCAAATAGAGAAGCTATATTTTATTGTGCCAGTCAATAAAGCATCAATAAAAGCACAATATACCTACCCTACGATCACAATATCAATAGACAATACAATAGCAATATAAAAGCAATAAAACAACAATATAAGTACTCTACGATTCCAATATGAGACGATAATATACCAATACACGAACAATATAAGTACTTTATGCTTCCAATATGAGGGCAATAAACATACAATAAGCACACATACAGTACACAACACTTTACAGTTATACAAACTTAGTAATTTGCCACTCAACCGTGAGAATAAGAGGACGGTGAAAACAAGGCACCACATTCATACAAAATTCATTTCGTGTCCACAAAATGCTTTGAACCCGTACTTACCCTGACCCAGCTACACAGACCCTACCAAAATCCAAGTGGTTACAGGTCCATCATTGGATCCATGTCCTTGTTCTTCTTCCTCGTTGCATGCACAAGGCTATGATCAGCCATTCCTTGGCCACATCTATTCAGCACCTGCCAGACACCAGCAACATCTATTTGGCTCCAATTGTAGTCTGGTGAGATGACGGAAGCATAATCTCGGAACATCTCGAACCCATTGTTAAAAGATTCAACCATTTCATGGTTACATTCTTCAGATTCAGTGAATTTTTGCA